CACATCACCACAAAAAAGTAAACCTTCCTCAAGCAGCACCAATTTTAGAAAAATAAAAATTAAGGCAACGAAACACTAACAAATGAAAATGAATGTATTATATGAATGTATATGCAATGGTATGAGCTTTTAAACAACCAATTAACTAAGTAAAAAACATGAAATATAGCCTTTTACAGGGTTATCATGAATCTTGCAGGTACCTACAACAATCCAGGGTTAAAGAATGCGTAACACGGAGACCTCATGCATAAGGACAAGCCGCATTGAAATCAAAACAAGGTACGTGACTTCTTTTCTGGTGAGGATGCTAATAAGGTGTCACATAACCTAATAGCACCTTGTTTCACATATTGTATAGTTTGGGGAACCATGACTCTGGTGTGTACTCTATTAGATTTGTATATTGGTGGTTTCAAAAGCCGACTCATACAACTGAAGCGATTTTATTTCTTTGAAAGGTTGTCATGAAGATGAGAGTTCTTCATAAGGTACGTATCTTTGCATGGCGATATGAAAATGAGGATTTACTGATCAGGAGTAAAGTGCAAGTAGCTAGACTAGGTGACGATATTTGTCCTTTGTGCAAGATAGATGTTGAAACAACCATGCATGTGTTCTGAGATTGTTCATTTGTGAATGACGCTCTATGAGTTACATGTATATCAGGTGTGCTTCTTTATTCAAATTATACAACTCCACTATTACGGTTAGAATCATCACTTGCTACGTCGGGGTTAGATGACTTTGTAGGATTCTTGGTTCTTCTATTGAATGTTTGGAATGAAAGATACTCCATGGTGCATATGGTCAGTTACAACCTTTTTAAGTACTTGTAGCCAATATCAAGGCGTTGTACTGTGATTTCCTTAAAGCCTAGCGGATGCACCTTTCCAACTGGTCTTCTACTTATAATTTGTACCAATGAAGTTTTCCGGATTGATAGTCAATTAAGATAAATGCATATTGTGCTTACAATCCAAATACTAAGATTGCAGTAATCAGTGTCATTGCTTGTGATGTTTATGGTTATGTTCTTGGTGGTTTAGCTACCACGTCATGATGTATTTATGATCTAGGTTTGCCAAGTTGCATTGTCTTGCCACGGTTGTTAATCTTACAATAGAGGAAGACTTGTATGACATTATTATTGAGTTGCATTCCACTACGATTGTCAACCTTTATAACGATACGAGTGGAAATGTTTCTACGATTGGTGTTTCTATTCAACTTATACACGATAAATATAATATTTTTAATAGTTGTATTATGGCCTATGTTTATAGGGAAGCAAATAAGGTTTCTCATAAGTTAGCTAAACGAGCCCTTGATTGTAATGTTTCCTATATCTTTGAGTCAAACTTTCCGCAGTTTATTACACTTGATGTAATAATGATTTGTTCCTGGCTAGATCAATGGAATTCTGGGCACTTTCTTCCCTTTATAGGAACCCCCAACCTTGTGTTGGTAAAAGAGTTTTTAATGAGGATATTTTTCTTTCAAAAAAAGGAAAAACTGCACACATGACTTAACCAAAAAATATGCGAATTTTTAAATGTTATTAGCATAGTACAACATAGTGTGGGGACCGTTGAAGTGTTTTCACCATGGTTTGTGGGTTTCTCTCGGCACTCATTAGCGGGGCTAATGGCATCTGAGGAATCTGCGACTGCTCTTCCGGCGCTCCGTTCATCTCTTCAAAGATCTTATTTCTTCACGCCCTCATCATTAGTATGTTCTAAGCTTCGTACGGTCTATTGATGGACTGACGCAAGCTATTTTCATGCTCCGCTGGGACTCAGTTACAATATTTCCCCCCAAATTCCGGAGATGGGATCCCGACTGTTTATCCGCCGCCGAAAGTGTTCGAAGGTGGAATTAAAGAATGGGGTCTCTCGCTTGTTGGGCAATTTTTAGGTGCTGCTCTAAATTAGCTGCTCTACATCAGATTATCGACACTCTGTGGAGAAAGCCCTTGCAAGTAGCCAATTTGCAGATCAGCTACGCAGGTAACAACCTTTACCTTTTTTGTTTAGTTCAGAGCATGCTCGGGACTGGGTATTGGAGAATGCCCTTGGCACATCTTCAACAAACCATTAATCCTTAGGAAATGGGTACCAAACATGGAAAAGTTGCAACTTGATTTATCAAGAATTCTTATTTGGGTTCACCTATTTAATGTTCCCCTTGAATTGTTTAACTACGAAGGCCTTAGCTATATTACTAGGCCATAGGTTACCCCCTTTTAATGGATTCTATCATCGCCTCTAAATCTAGGTTAGTGTTTGCAAAATTTATGTTGAAGTTGGCCCGTCTGAAGTTATTCCTAAGTTTGTTGATGTTGTTCTTAACAATAGTAAAACAGTCTCGATAGTTGTCGAAGTATCGTGGATGCCTCATTGCTGCAAATGTTGCAATGTGTTTGGACACAGTGTTAAAGAATGTAAGCAAAATCCTATTCCTCAAACCTCAACAATGGTTTGGAGGAAAAAAATTCTGCCACTATAACCCCACTAGATTTTGAAATTGTTTGCATTGAACATAAACAAAATGCAACGTCTGTTGATCCTAAACCTTCTTTGAATATATCTTCTAAGGATTTTGAAGGTGGGAGCCATTCTTCCTTAGGGTCATATCATTCTGTTAACGACTCTGATGCTTCGGCTGAACCCATTCAACAAGTCTGTACTACGATTAATGATCAAGAAACTTCTACTGATCCTAATGAAGAAGAGAACTCCATAATTCCAGATCAGCTAGGTAATTCTGCTGATACAATTTCTGCTCCTACTCTCCTTAATAAAAAGAATATGAAGGCATGCTAAAGCTCACGATGCATTAACAGGGTCCAGTAACCGTTTTGAGCTACTAAACACGATTAATGAGACTCTTCCTACCTCAGAGAATCAAGGGAAAAAAAGTAAGAGCAGTTGCTTCTGGTGTTGTTGTTTTGATCAAAGAACTCAAAATAAAAAAGAAGTCTCATCTTGATAAATCTAAGGGTTCTTCAGTAGGAAGTCAAGGATGGGAACCGAGCTCCTCATCCCAAGGAAAATGATAATTTCCTTTTGGAATGTAAGAGGATTAAATAATCCTCTTAAACAAGGCCAAGTCCTTCAAAGGGAAGCCAAGAATAATGTGGATATCCTATGCTTGATGGAAACTCGAGTGAAATTAGAGAAATCTTATGAATAATTAGCTACTTCTTTTGAGAATTGGAATGTTCTCACCAATTATGATTTTGCAGTGAATGGCAAAATATGGTTTTTGTGGAGGAAAAGATTGGATTTATCCTTATGTAAAGCTACCGATCAAAGTATCACTGTCAAAGGTCTTTTTAATGGCGCTCCCTTCATTATTACCACAATATATGGTAGTAATAATGGCATCATTAGAAGACAACTTTGGCAAGAACTTCGGTATCTTGAATCAAATTATAGTGACCTTTCTTGGCTCATGGGAGGTGACTTTAATGTTATCTTGAATAATTATGAAAGTTCTGATCACGAGCTCATGGGTATGATCACTTTCTCTGACATGTTAGAATTTCAGCATATTACTCAAGATCTACAGTTACAAGACCATTCTTTCTTTGGTCCAACATTCTCGTGGAGTAACAAACAAAGTGACAATTTCCTTGCTCGGAACTTGACAGATGGTTCGATTATTTTCCTCACTCTTCTGTGGAATTCTTAGCTCCTGGTCCTTCTGATCATTGTATGGCAGTGATTGATCTTCACAAAGAGGCTCATTCAAATAAAAACTATTCAAATTCTTCAACTGTTGGACTCTGCATCCATATTTTCTTAACATTGTTAGTCAATCATGGAATATGGCAGTGCAAGGCAACCCAATGAAGTCTTTATTCTTAAAGCTTAAATGTCTCAAAGAAATCCTTAAGCTCAATAAAGACCATTTCAGTGACATCTCGGCTCGAACTAGACTAAAAAGAGAAGAACTTGATAGGCAGCAAATTCTTACCTTAAGAGGTGATGATTCCTTGGAGAAAGAACTCGAGTTACAAATGGAGCTCAATTCTTCAGCAGAAGTAGAGATGATGTTCTTAAAACAAAAAGCTAAAATGCATTGGCTTAAGGAGGGTGATAAATGCACAAAATTCTTTCACTCAGTATTGCTACTAAGAACCAGAGGCAGACTATAAGGGTTCTTGTCAATAATCGGGGGGAAAGACTTGAATCATTTGATGAAATGTCCTCGGAAATAATTGAGTTCTTCAAAAATATTTTAGGTTCCAAGGATCCAGAAGTAAAAGAATGCTCTCCTGCAATTCTTAAAGTTCTTATGCAACCTATTTCATCACTTGTTGACACTGAAGCTCTTGTCAAGGAAGTTACTAGTGATGACATTAAAGAGGTCATTTTCAGCCAAGGCAATGACAAGGCTCCCGGACCGGACAGTTTTACTTCTCTCTTTTTCAAGAAAGCTTGGCCAGTGGCTGGTAATGATTTTATTAAGGCAATAAAGTACTTCTTTCAAGAATCATTTATTTATCCAGCCTTTAATGCAACCACTATTATCTTGATTCCAAAGAAGTCGAATCCTAGCACAGTTTCTGACTTCAGACCCATTTCTTGTTGCTCGGTTATTTACAAGGCCATTACAAATATTCTTGTCAATAGAATTACTAACATACTGCCAAGGATTATTGCACCTAATCAATCGGCTTTTGTCAAAGAAAGGAGTATAGTAGATAATACCCTTCTTGCGCAGGAAATTGTTAAAGGATATGGGAGGAAATTCATATCACCAAGATGTGCACTGAAAATTGATCTTTAAAGGCTTTTGACTCCATCAATTGGGACTTTATTTATGCAGTTCTTAAAGCTCTGGATTTTCCTACAAAATTCATCGAATGGATTTTTCATGCTATACGATGCTAGATATTCCATTGCTCTTAATGAAAGCTTGGTTGGTTTTTTAAGGGTGCAAAAGGAATCAGACAAGGTGATCCGCTTTCCCCTATTTTATTTGTTCTAGTTATGAATGTGCTCTCTAATATTCTCAATAACGCTGCTTCCAGAGGGATTTTTTCCTTCCATCCAAAATGCAAGAAAATTGAACTCACCCACTTGTCATTTGCTGATGACTTATTGATTTTCTGCAAAGGAAACCTTGAGTTTGTTATGGGAGTGATTACTGTCTTGGACTGTTTTTATGAATATTCTGGGTTGAAGCTCAACGCAGGTAAATGTGAGATTTTCACTGCAGGTATTTCGGCTCATAATCTTGAATCTATCATCAACTATACTGGTTTCAAACAAGGAAAGTTACCTGTTAGATACCTCGGGGTACCTCTTGTCACCAGAGAGCTTACCGATAAAGATTGCAAAGCTTTGCTAGACAACATCAAGAGCAGACTTCACCAATGGTCTAGAAAGAATTTGAGCTACACAGACAGAGTTGAGCTTATAAAGATAGTTCTCTATAGCGTTGCGAATTATTGGTGTAGAAATCTGGTTTTACCACAGACCATTATCAAGAAGATTGAGCAATTATGTTCCAGATTTTTCTAGAAAGGTTCAGACATTTATGCTGTCGGTGCAAGGGTGAGTTGGGTGAAAATTTGTAAACCAAAATCAGAAGGAGGTTTGGGACTAAAGGATATCAAATCATGGAACAACGCCTGCCTAATGTTTCTGATCAGAAAATTACTTGTAAGGGAAGGTTCTCTTTGGATAGCGTGGCTTCAATCCTACATAATTAAGCAGCATGATTTCTGGACCATGGAAATACCGCAATCTGCCAGCTGGAGCTTTAAGCGAATGCTGAAGCTCAGAAATGCTGCTCAAACAGTGCGTGTAATAGCAGTAAAAAGTACTAAAGAGATTTGGGAAGAAATCCGCCCTAGAGATGCTAAAGTTGCATGGCACAAACTTCTCTGGTATCCTCTACATGTCTCGAAGCATAGCATAATTTCATGGATGATTATTTTGGATCGTCTCCCACTAAGGACAGAATGCAACGATTTGGTCTTATTACAAACAATCTTTGCATGTTCTGCTCGGAAGCAACGGAAACTAGGAACCACCTCTTTGCCGAATGCTCGAAGACTGCTTCTATTTGGAAATCAATTCTGCAACTTTCTGGTCTGAACAGGAATTTCTCAAATTGGACTATTTTGTTGTAATGGGCAACCTCTTCATAGAAAGGTAAATCACTGCTAACTTGCATTCTGAAGCTGTCATGGAACGCCTTTAATTACACCATTTGGGAAGAACGAAATCGTTGGATATTCAAAGGAACTTCCAGAACTGAAGCAGAAATTATCAAAGCTATTAAGGAGATGGTAGGAACTCTTCTAAGTAATAGAATTTTCAACAGATTAAATAGCATTAACTTATCTATTTGTAATCATTGGGATATAGTCTAATTTGTTAGCAGCTTGTTCCTTGATTGAACTGTTTTGTTAGCAGCTTGTTGCTATTTTTGGGTAATAAAATCTTGATTTATCCAAAAAAAATATATGTGAATCCTACGAGGTTAGACGACCAAGTCGGGTGGGCAAACATGTTTAGTATATGAGTTAAAATTGAAATCATGATTTCATTTTAAAGCATTTTTTATTTTAGGCTACCTCTTCCCCGGTTTAAACTCTTTGAAATTTGAGAGATCAACCCAAAATCGGCTTAACTACATCTGCTTACCATTATCTATCATTGTTAGCCACCACTAATAATGATTGAAAATTTAAAAAAATATATATATTTCTCTCAATTTTTCACCCTAAAGATGATTTTAGTATTAGAATCTCAAGAAAATCATTGAATTTGAGTAGATTTAAAAAAAATCGATGGAACCTTTATCAAGCTTGGAGATTCGTTGTTTAACACTAGCATGCCCAAGATCTAAAAGTACATTCATCGTTGTGATTTTTTATGTTTCCTCTTATGGTATTAACATCTTTCAGTCCTTTTTCTTTTTACAAGTCTTACTTTCCAAAAGTAAGTTTTTGGTATGGTTTGGGGGTTTAAATAAGGTTTTTATGGTTATAATCTAATAAGAAGTGCTAGTTTTTATGGATTTAGATGAAGTTATAATCTATTAGGATAAGATTCACTTTGGGTAGGAAACCATTCGAATATTCGCTAGTATTTAGACATTTGAGATAGTGACAGTTTTTTTCGATGAAAGAATATGTCGATGATTATCATAAAAGCAATGGCTACTAAAGGTAGGGGTTATTTTTTAGGGGGGATATGGGTTAGGTGGGTTTGTATTGTTTGAATGAATTTGGGTAGGTTTTGATCAAGGCATGGGTGTTGGGTTGATTAATGTTTGGTTATATAGGTTTTGGGTTTTGTTTAGATCTGGTTCTAAACTTTAAACCTAGATAAAAAAAATATTATAGTAGTCCTATTTTGTCCATTGTTGAGAAACATGAATATGGAAAAGATTAAAATGAAAAATTGTATTCAGATAACTTCAAATAATTTACTCACTCCTACGCTAAAGATGTTGAACTTACTCTTCAACAATTTTACTCCATTTCTCCATAGAAAATGATGTTGGGCTTGCTCTTAATTTTGTTCCATTCTACTATAGAAAATGATGATAGGATCACTTGTAATATTTTTCTCCACATTTTCATAACAAAAGATGTTGAATTCGGTCAGAATAATTCTCATCACTTTCACACACAAAAAGGATATTGAACTCGCTCTTCATAATCGACTCCACTCCTTCATAACAAAGAATATTGGTCTTAATCTTAATTATTAGCTCCACTTCTCCATAGTAAATGATATTGGACTCGCTTTTTAATAATATGCTCCACTCCTTCATAGCAAAAGATACTAGGCTCGATCATAAAAATTTGCTTCAGTCCTCAATAGAAAAGGATGTTGGGCTCTCTTTACTCCACTACTACATAACAGAAGGTGTTGGCTTCGTTCATAACAATTTGCTTCACTCCTATATAAAAGAAAAGGATGATGTGTTCTCTCCTAATAATGTACTCCACTTTTCTATAAAAAAAAAAGAAAGACATTCGACTCAGTCATAATAATCTGCTCCACTCCTCCTTAACAAAGAATGTTGGCTTGGTCATAATAATCTGCTCAATTCTTCCATAGCAAAGTATGTTGGATTGATCATAATAATGTACTTCACTCCTCTATAGCAAATCATGTTAGGCTTGCTCTTAACAATTTTACTTTTAATACATGTGTGTATGCCATTAGTTATGTGAAATGAATTTATCATGAATGCACGAACATATTCTCTATTATGCATGTGCTCCATGGTTTTCAGAACCGGACCGGTTAGCGAACCGGTCATGCTACCGGTTCACTGGTTCAACCGGTCGAACCGGTCCGACCGGTCGGAAGAACCGGACGACGTCAAAATTATTTAAAAAATTAAATAAAAATATCAAAAATATTTAATAAAAAATAATTTTTTTATATCACAAGTCATATTCAAAGCAAGTCATAACATATATAAGTTAAAAACCATAAAATCAAGTGAAGCAAAATGATTTAAATTAACTACAACATAATATTTAAGGTAAAACATATTAAACAATAAATATAATTATATAACTATAATTAAAAAATAAATTTGGGGCTAAAAAATCATAACAAAATGATATTGTTTGGTATAATTTTTTTTTAAAAACAATCCCACATGGCTAAGAAACATAGAAGAGCATCCCAAAAGTCTAAAGAGTAAAAATATGAGAACAAAACAATCCCACATGGCAAAGAAACATAGAAGAGCATCCCAACTAACTTCTATAAATAATAGAGGTAATTTGACATTCAAAATCATGGAGCCTTTTAGTGAGCATTTAGTGAACTATTCTTTCACTTTAATCAAGCTCAAATTTTAGGCTTCAATCGAGCTTCTAATTTTTTTTTTTGAGTTAAAGCCTTTTCGAGTTCAAGTTTCAATATTATATTTCGAGTTCGAGTTGAACTTGATAATTTTTAGCTCGTGAGTTTGAGTCGAGTTGAGCTTACTTTTAAAGTTTTCAAGTTTGAGTGGAGTTCAGCAATACTCGAGTTCGACTTGGCTCGTTTAACAAACAACGTTATTTGGTTTAATTTAAAAAAAAAAAAAAAAACTAAATTGGCGGTTTTTCCCGGTTTTTTCTGATTTTCAGCCGGTCCAGTTCGAACGGTTCAGCGGTTCAACCGGTGTAGATTGAACCGGACTAGACAACGGTTCTCGGTTGAACCGATTGAACCGGCCGGTCCGATCCGGTTTTCAAAACAATGATGTGCTCTTAATGCTTGAAATTTTGTGTCATCAAATTTTTTTCATGTCAAGTGCAAAATCTTTTATAAACTTCATCTTCCCTAGTTGCATGTCTGTTCTCATCTTCTGTGTACATAGATATTTTATTGTTTCGTCTTCTCATTATAACTTCAAGGCTTTCTTAATCATACTTCTTTCTAGTTATTTTTTTTTTTTTAAATCTCCACATACACTTCAAAAATTTTGAAAATATGTTCAAGGGGAACTTTTCCTCTAGTTCTTATACTTATTAAAAGTCTTTATCCTAGATAATGTGGAAAATGCAATAGCATATATTCTCTTTAGACATTCTATAAATACATATATTTTTATCATAAGACAATAAGAAATGATTTAATAATTATTAAGATGCATGAAACAAGGTATAAAGAAAAAATGACGTTGTATTAGAAATTTCATTTTATTAATGCATAAGTAAGAAATGATAAAGGTTAAAACTGGTCACCAAATGATTCTAACTGATCTTTTAACTTTTAAAATTTTAAAAAATAAGTATTAAACTTTATATTTTGTTATAAAATGGGCATTACATTGTTATCTATCATTAGTTGTTATTAAGGAATGACATCACATATTAAAATTAATGGATAATATCTCATTTGATCCTTTAACTGTAATTTGAATTTTATTGGATGATTTATTTAATATTTCTAAGCAATTATTTTAAAAAAATACAACTTAAGATAGGATTCTCTCATCTAAAAAAAACTCTAGCGATGCTTGCTCTTTTATTTTCATCTTTGATTGATAGACGGTGACACTAACCTTGGTGTTAGTTTTCGACCATCAATATTTCTTATTTTTTGTTTTCTTATCTCTCGTCTTTGTTTCTAAAATTCTACCTTTATGACACACTTTCTTTTTTTGACACAATTTTCTCTGTCTTTTGACACTTTTTTGGTTTCTTTATCAATTGTTTGATCATTTTTTTCATTTGTTTTTTTCTCAAGGTTGGATTTCTCGCCACCTGGACCAATCAAGATGACGAGTATTTGTTATTTTATTGATCTTTCCTGCTTTAGACCATCGAATTGGATTTTGATACTTAGTTTGCATTTGTATATAGTTTTCTCATGATGCTTGACTCTGATTTACATTTGTCGGTGATATTTTAGTATTTTTGATATTCTTTTGTGACTCATTTGTCGATGTAGTCAAATTTATTTGTATATATTTTGTTCGATTTTTTTGAGTTTTTCATTTTTTTCCTTGTATGGTCATTGTATGATCTTAAGTGACTAATTTTTTGCAAATAGTAGTAGAATGTCATAATTACGTGTTTAGTTTACAATTATGACTGTAAACATTCATTATAATTTTGAATGTCTTATTTTTTATAATATAACTAGTTGCTTTTATTTGTTGATATATGCACCACATGCCACAATCCTAAAGTAGATGGGCTTACTCTTCTACTTGGCCCAATCACATGGAGACATACCAAACATCTTAAAGACAAGCTTAAGACCACTGTGCAAGCCTTCATCAGCAAGAGCTTATACGCCCATAAGGAGATTGAAGACTTTCAGGAAGAGAATCCACATCTCTTACCATCCACATCAACTTGGATCACCACAGCTCAAATTGAAACTATTTCAGGATCAAATTGCAAGAATCACAAAGATAATCTTGAAAATACGTTCAAGCCCCTTTGAATGGAAAACATCTTGTAATGTTGCACATTGCTAAATTTACAAAGCTTGAGATAACTTTCCCTTTTAGGATTTCAGTTATTTAGACAATTATAATGGTTGTTATTTTATTTTCTTCTAGAAGACTCATCTTGGTCGTCTATCACCTTCTAGAAGACTCATTTTGGTCGTCCATCTCATCC